CGTTAAGAAAAAATGCAAAAAAAAAAGCGAAAAAAATGCGAAAAAATGCGAAAAAATGAGAAAAAAATCAGAAAAAAATGTGGAAAAATGGGAAAAAAATGAGAAAAAAGATGGAAAAATGGGATAAAAAGGAGAAAAAAAGAGAGAAATGGGAGAAAAGATGGAAAAACGGGAAAAAAAGATGGAAAAATAAAAAAAAAATCGTTGAAAAATAAGAAAAAATAAGAAAAAAATGCAAAAAAAAAGACAAAAAATGGGAAAAAAAGGAGAAAAAAAGATGGGAAAATGGAATGAAAAGGAGAAAAAAAGAGGGAAATGGGAGAAAAGATGGAAAAACAGGAAAAAAGGTTGGAAAAATAATAAAAAAAATCGTTAAGAAAAAATGCAAAAAAAAAAGCGAAAAAAATGCGAAAAAATGCGAAAAAATGAGAAAAAAATCAGAAAAAAATGTGGAAAAATGGGAAAAAAATGAGAAAAAAGATGGAAAAATGGGATAAAAAGGAGAAAAAAGAGAGAAATGGGAGAAAAGATGGAAAAACGGGAAAAAAAGATGGAAAAACCAGAAAAAAATCGTTAAAAAATAAAAAAATTGCGAAAAAAATGCGAAAAAAATGCGAAAAAATGGGAAAAAAAAAGAAAAAAGATGGAAAAATGGGATAAAAAGGAGAAAAAAATGGAAAAAAGGGATGAAATGGAGAAAAAAAGAGGGAAATGAGAGAAAAGATGGAAATATGGTAAAAAAAGTTGGAAAAGTAATGAAAAATCGTTAAAAAATCAGAAAAAAACCACAAAAAACCCCAAAAAAGTGAGAAAAAATGGGAAAAAAATTAGAAAAAAAATGGAGAAATGGGATGAAACTGAGAAAAAAAGGAGGGAAATGGGAGAAAAGATGGAAAAACGGGAAAAAAAGATGGAAAAATCAGAAAAAAAATCGTTAAAAAATCAGAAAAAATGCTAAAAAAATGCGAAAAAAATGAGAAAAAATGAGAAAAAAAATGGAAAAATGGGATAAAAAGGAGAAAAAAAGATGGAAAAAAGGGATGAAACTGAGAAAAAAAGGGAAATGGGAGAAAAGATGGAAAAATGGGAAAAAAAGATGAAAAAATCGTTAAAAAATCCGAAAAAATAAGTAAAAAATGTGAAAAAAAATCCGAAAAAATGCGAAAAAAATGTGAAAAAAATCAGAAAAAAATCCAAAAAAAACATGGAAAAATGGGAAAAAAATGGGAAAAATTGTGGAAAAAGTGGGAATTTTGGAGGGGCTGGGATTTTTGGGGATTTGGGGCTGGAATTTTGGGAATTGTGCTGACCTTGGCGGCGTTGATGAGCTCGTCGGCCAAGCACTCGGCGATGGTTTTGATGTTGCGGAACGCGGCCTCGCGAGCGCCCGTGCACAGCAGCCAGATGGCCTGGGGGAGAAAAAGTGGGAATGTTGGGGAAAAATCGGGAATTCTGGGGGAAAAATCGGGAATTCTGGGGGAAAATCGGGAATTCTGGGGGAAAATCGG